GAGGAGAGGCATCAGCTTGAAGAGCGTCGCGAGTAGGCTGTCGACGGCGTGGCTCCGTCTCAGGTACGAGGCAAACTCTGGTCTCACCTGAGAGACGAGAGACAGAGAGATAGACGGTTAGTGCAGGGGGAGAGGGGGAGAAGCCCGACTCACCTCGACCGGCGCGTTCTGCACCATCGACAGCAGCAGCTCCCACAGCATGAGGTACGCGAGCACGCAGGTGGCAGCACCGGTGCCCGGCTCGACGACGCACACGTCGCCGACGGCAACGTCCGCCAGCATCTGGTCGACGGCAGCGGTGGTGCCCTCCAGCAGCTGACACATGACGAGTGGCGGTCGCCTGCGACGCAGAGATAACGTCGTCACGGTAACGAGCGTCGATGGAGAGGGCGCCACCGATTCTGTAGTTCTTACGTGGCCCTCTAGTGGCCACGAGTGGCTGTTCTATATAGAGGTGGCTTCACTCTATAACCGACACTCGACGGACACGCAAAGTGCCCTTTATAGACAGGTACTAAACGTTAACGTTTTACGACTAATTTTGTGGTTTTTTATATTTAATTAACTTCTTAACTAATAACTTTAATTAACTTCTTAACACGTTCAACGCTGTCGGTGTTAACAATGCACCTACCGCCCTGCGCTGGGATTTTCGCGTTTTTACCTTGTATTCACTTATTGATTTACCAGATTTCCTTTGCAGGAAAGCTTACCAAACTGACACATTTACTCCGCATGAGTGTTATCTCACCATTACACGTTCAAATGGAAATCGTTCCCCTTCATAATAATATATTGATACGAAAACAGGGCAAAAACGGATATTTCGTGCGTTTTCGTCTCAGATGCCACTGCACCGGTGGATTTTCGCGAGTTTGTTATGATATCATTCGACAGCATACTATTTTTCCCAGTAAAAAATGTGACAACGCTTACACATGTGTGGGGTATGAACCTTGGTTTGTGTTTCTACATGCAAAATTTTTACATACTACACATTTATTATATTATATCCCATTAGGAAAACGGTAAACAAACCTTGTTGAACGGACTTTAGCCCCGAATTTACCTTGAGTCTCAAAACTCCTAATTTCACGTTCGAATCCACGGTAAAGCAATGTATTCTTTAGTTCATGTAAGACTGGGGTAATATAGACTGTCCCTGTTTAATTTCTAGGTAGATAGTGCCTGCCATCTGTTGGAAATCAGAGTAACAAAAACCAACAATCTTCAGCTCGTGGATCCGCGGGGGTGCGTTTTGATTGTTCCCACGAGCTGACTCGTGGATCCGCGGGGATGCATTTTGATTGTTCCCACGAGCTGACTCGTGGATCCGCGGGGA